ATAGCTTTAATTTTCTGATGATCCACCCGAATCCCCTCTGCAGATACCACATGTCTAAGGAATGCCACTTCAGGTAACCAAAATTCACACTTAGACATCTTAGTATAAAGTTTCTTATTTCGCAGTGTTTGAAGAATCACTCGAATATGGGTGTCATCTCCTCATTTGTCTTTGAATAAACCAATATATCATCAATGAAGACGACCACAAACTGGTCAAGATACGGTTGGAATACCTTATTCATAAGATCCATAAATGATGTTAGTGTATTGGTTAATCCAAACAACATTATTATGAACTCATAATGACCATATTGTATACTAAAAGTAATTGTTGGAATATAATATTCTTGTATCTTTAGCTGATGATAGCCAGAGCGTAAATAAATTTTGGAGAATACCGAAGCTCCCTTGAGTTGATCAAATAAATCGTCGATTCTTGGGAGAGGATACTTATTCTTTATTGTCACCTTGTTGAGCTGTCGATAATCAATACATAGACACATTAAACCATCTTTCTTCTTTACAAATAACACTGGCACACCCCAAGGTGATACATTAGGTCAGATGAATCCTTTAACCAGTAGCCCTTGCAACTGGGCCTTTAACTCACTCAGTTTCTTTGGGGCCATTATATAAGGAGCCATCAAAATTGGTGTCGTTCCAGGCATTAGCTCAATTTGAAACTCAACCTCGCTATATGAAGGTAATCCCAGTAACTCATTTGGAAACACGTATGAAAATTATCGGACCATTAGAATGTCTTCCAATCTCATCTCCTTTGCTCGAGTATCAATCAGATTGGCGATGAAAGTTTGACATCCTTGAAACATTAGTTTCTTAGCTGACATTACCGATATCATATTAGTTAATGGATTAATTATTTTGATGACCACAATTACCTTTGATCCATCAAATTTTTTCAAAATTACCCTATTTAGTCGATAATCCATATTAGCATGGTAATGATACAACCAATCTATTCCCAAAATAACCTCAAACTCGCCAAAGGGTAATTCCATTAGATTAGAAGAGAATTCAATTCCCTGAATCCTTATAGGACACCCTCAACAAATTTGGTTCACCTGAGCACTATGCCCTAACGGGTTAGTCACAATCATCTCACTACTTATAGCTTCTAACTGGATTCTCAAACCTCTCACCAATTTACTACTAATATAAGAATAAGTTGATCCCGGGTCAATCAATACCAAAACAAGTTTAATTGATTTTAAGTTCTAAATGAAGCAATTTAGGTTTTAAAAAGTGTACATGCCAACGAAATGTTAAAAATCTTTGATATGATAAAGTAATTATTATGTTATCCTTGCTAATATAATTATTGATTATATTTTAATAGATGTCGGACTACGAGGGCTCCCGAAGTGAATCGGGAGATGGAAATGAGGGTAGTAGTAATTCACCTACCCCAGCTAGGCAAGGTGAAGAACATACGCCTCAGGGAGTGACTCTACAAGATTAAGGAGTTTTTTTCATGACATTGGACGCGATTCTGATGTGTTTCCAACCGTCTTCTCCCCCAGCTCCTAGGATGAATGTGGCTAAGGAGCTAAAAAATTTAGAAGCACATGAATTTAAGGGAGAAGCTTAGGAATGTCCCGTTTCTGTGGATATTTGGCAAAACAACATAAAGATTATGCTTGAGGGTCTCCATTGTTTTGAAATGGAGAAACTGGATGGAGTAGTCACATTACTACGAGGACAAACACGTATATGGTGGACTATTGTGATGATGAGAGCTCCTAGGGATCAAGTGACATGGTCGTTCTTTCTGGACGTGTTCAAGAACAAATATATTGGTGATCAGTTCATTAGACAAATGAAGTAGGAGTTCTTGAATTTGAAATAAGGAAATCACACTGTGTATGAGTATGAGTGCAAGTTTAATAAATTGAGTAGATTTGCAGCTGAATTGGTCCCGACTGATAAGGATTCATGTGATTGGTTTGTGGAGGGTTTACGCCCCAGATTGAAGGAGTTGCTATTAGTGCTGAATATTTCTACCTTTCAAGAGGTAGTGAATTGAGCTAAAGCATTGGAGTGAGCACAAATGAAAGATTTGGGGAGTAAAAGACCCAATTGACCAAGAGAGTAGGTGCCTTGTCGAGTGTATCATAATCAAAGAAAATTCGAGGTTTGGGTTTTCGACCTCAATCTAGATCTAAGTCAGCTGCATCCTCAGGAAGAAGATCAAACCCAGTGAGAGCTAAGCATACTCAATCAACTGAATCAGGAGCTGAAAGACCAAGTCAATGTTAATATTGTGGCAAAAATTATAGTGGCATTTGTCGAGTGGTCTCGGGAGCATGTTTCAGATGTGGGGACACTGAACATTTTATCCAGGATTATCCCTTAATGATTAGAGAGCCCTAAACAATCAGAGAGATCCCCTACTGTACCTCAGAGAGATAAAAGACAAGGTAAAGTAAAAAGTCAATGTGACACCACATATGCATATCTGGTCGGGTACGGGTTGGGGGTATCACAAAGTGCGTCTAAGCCCTGTAATAACTAAATACCCTTAAGCTCTGAAATGAATAAATCAACCTCGAATACCAAAATAAATATATTATATGACCAAGTGGAACTAAATGGAAGTATTATATGTATCCGAATTATGGAAATGACCGAATTACTCTAGAACTCTGAAGTGACCCGGATAAACTTAACTACTAAATAACCTAAGTAACCTCAAAGACCTAAAATTAAGTGAAGAACTTATATAAGTTTGGAAACGATGATGAACCTATATGTTGTACTATCCATAAGGGTTTTGAACCATGAATCAAGCACGTTGACATTTCTTGATATCGTTGTAATATAGAAATAAAATAAATACCATTGGAACATCTGTTCGTATCCCTAAAATCCATTCAATGATGATTCTAAAAATGATCAGTTCGACAAGAGTTGTCAGTATTAAAGTGTGAATACCTTTGAAGTGCATCAATTTGACTGATTGGCAGGTATCACAGTGTTGTGATTTTTTCAGTTCGAGTTGACTCGATATCTTGATAAATCAACATGAATCTTAATTATCGTGAATCATCGTTTCACCCTTATTTGAATAAATTACTAAGGGGCTGTTTGTTTGGATTTGAATAGAACCATTCAGCGCTGATTGTTTCTCACCTCTGAATGATTCAGTGCTGACTGATTCAGCAAAACAGTGCTGAATGATTCAGCATCAAAGAACATTCTGAATCATTCAGAGCTATTATCAAACAAACATGTCACATTCAGAGCTAATTCACACAGAGCCTCTGAATCATTTAGCATTTGAATCATTCAGCACTTAATCATTCTGAAGTAAACAAACATCCCCTAAGATTTATCCAAGAACCAAATGTCCAAAATGCCCCTGATTTCCTGAATAATGAAATCATTCATGTCATAATTGAAACCTCAAGTAACGTTAAAACAAAAGATTCTGAATACATTTCTGATTACTTAGTGCCTCATAAAAATATCTTAATATTGTATGATCTTGATAGATCACTTCCCGAATGACTAATGAATTCGTTAGCTATCAAACCTCCTTTTATAGGGATATTGATTTTAAAATCCTATTGAATTACAAAAGTTTCATGGTTTCCCGTTTGATAATTGCTAAGTACCTCGAGAAAATAATTGGATCCTCTAGTGTGTTCCATATGTGCTAATGAATGTTTTATATGTTTTGAAATGCGTTTCATCGAAATTTATGATTTACTGGTTTATGAACCATGGCTACATGGTATGTGTTCTCTAATTTTTGTTTTCACTGGAAAATATAATCGTTTTTATTTATGGATCATGGGGTCTACTGGTTAGTACTTGAATTGTTTTATTAAGACATTATTTGGGTAGGCTAGAGAATGTAGGTTCAGCTTTGATCAAGCTGGTAATTCCTTACGGACCTAAGGTGACCCTTGGGTAGTCTCTAAGGCCCTGAGAAACTTTATTAGGTAGGCTCTCAAGCCCAAGGTACTCCTTTGGGTAAATTATGGTACTTCATATGGTGTACAAATGGAGGATTTGTTATGTGGTTTATTTCATTGTCACTATGAGATTTTACTGGATCACGATCTTGATATTATTATTTATTGTTAGACCTGATTTCTATTGGATATTGTATGGGTAGGATTCTAGAGTATGAAGGTTCAACTATGATCAAGCTAGTAATTCCTTACGGACCTAAGAAGACCATTGGATAGGCCCATAGGCCCCAAGGTATTCCCTTAGGGTGACTCATTTGTTGTGTGCTTAGGATAAGTCTTTATGGATGCAGTTATGGGGAAATTGCATAAAGGTGTTTGGTTGGAGGGTATGACTATGATTTTAAAATATGTTTTAAACTACTAATGTTTTTAAAAGATCTATATACATTACTCTGTTTTGTTGGAACGCACTGGACATCCTATTCCGATCTCTTGAGCTTGGCCCTTTGAATGTTCATCTGAACTGAAATCTTCATGTCTTTTACTCGAAGAAATATCAGTGGAACCCCAGCTCATACCGAAAACCTGGAGACGTATGAATCAATAATAAAAATTTATGCTTTTCCATTTATCTACATGTCTTTCCGCATCACTTGGTAGTTCTGTATTACTGAGCTTTCCAAAACTCAATATTTTACTCACCATTTCATGTTAAAAGAATTGATTCAGTTCAGCTATCGACATATGCAATGGAAGTTCCTTTGGCTTGGGAGGAAGAGTACGGTACAAGTATAATCAGGGGCATGTATGTCACATTTGAATTTTTATAATGAGTATGAATTTATATGATTTTAATTCTGTTTGTAATATATGAATAGTTTCTAAACTAGTATTTTAATTATAAATTATTTTATAATTTTAAATGTTTTAACAAAAATTTTAATTTTTTTAAAATTTTTACTGCAAATAGCTATGGTGTTATTAAAGTGACATCTAGAATCGAATTACTCCTGTCGGAATGTGGGTGATACAATTATATGACGGACAGATACAAAAATTGTTATATCTCTATCACCTTGTTTTGTTATTATATAAAGCCTGAGTTCTACCTTTGCTTCAAAGATCAGAACTTTAAAGTTGGGTTTATCTGGAAATTGGGAAACTCATTTTCTTTATTTTTCTTAGCCAAGAAAATGGGAACATTCCATGTTCTTCTTCTCTTTGTTTTCTTCAGTTTCTCTTTGTTCCATGGAGGATTATCCAGAGCTGTTAAAGCTAAATCCCAAGGTGGATCAGAAGAAGAATGGGGCTATGTTCAAGTTAGACCAAGTAAGAAACATAGTTCTCATTCATTTTAGCGTTTTTTTAATTAAAAAATAGCCAATGTAATTGATTTTGAATTGGGTTTTTGTTTTGTTGTTGTTTTGAACAGAAGCACACATGTTTTGGTGGCTTTATAAAAGTCCTTACAGAGTTGAACAGCCTTCAAAGCCATGGCCAATCATTCTTTGGTTACAAGGTGGACCTGTAAGTAATCTATTTGAATAAAATACCCAGAGAACAGTTCTGGATTTTTCATTTTTTGTTAAAGTTTTTGAAATTGTTTTGTTACAGGGTGCCTCTGGTGTTGGAATTGGAAACTTTGAGGAGATTGGGCCATTAGACACTGATTTGAAGCCAAGGAATTCCACTTGGTTGAAGAAGGCTGATCTTCTATTTGTGGTTAGTTTAGTTATCCATAATTCAACAACATGAAAGTTTATTCTTCTTCTTTGAGTTTAATGGGAATTTATTAATGTGATATATAGGATAATCCAGTGGGAACAGGGTACAGCTTTGTGGAAGATACAGAGCTGTTGGTGAAAACTGATGATGAAGCAGCAACTGATTTAACTACTTTGTTGATGGAATTATTCAATAGAAATGAAAGCCTTCAAAAGAGTCCTTTGTACATTGTGGCTGAGTCTTATGGAGGCAAGTTTGCTGTCACTGCTGGATTATCAATTCTAAAAGCCGTTGATGATGGGAAATTGAAGCTAAAACTTGGAGGTAAAAAGAAATTCTTTGTTTCCATTCATAATTCATACAAATAAAGAAATACTCTGTTTTGATGCATTGAACTGATATTCTAGGGGTTGCCTTGGGAGATAGTTGGATATCACCGGAGGATTTTGTTGTAAGTAAAAATTTATTTAAATTGTTTAATTTCCCAGGGAAATTTGCATAATTGAATGTTTGCATTTAAGTTCATCTAAACCCCCACACCCTTAAACATGGGTGATTACAGTTTGCTTGGGGGCCGCTTCTTAAGGATGTTTCCAGGCTAGATATCAATGGCCTGAAAAAGTCAAACAGGTACTAAAGATTTTCCTTTTCCACTTCTTTTGCAAAAAAATGTAAATGTATTTTGGTCAAAATATGTTGTCTGTCCATGTACTTTAGCAAACTTTTACGTTTAGTCCCTATACAAGTTAAAAATTAAATCATCTTATTTTCAGATTTAAAGGTTCTAATCAATCATTGGTGCTTTTAATATTTTCCATCAAACTTTGTCAACTTGGTATGTTATTTTTAGATCAAAAAGAAGATTTGATTTTAAATTATTTAAGTACAGGGATTAAATTTCAAAATTTGTCAAAATACAAGGACTGATTATCTGATAAAATCCCATTTGGAATATCAGTCTAGCAGAGGAGATCAGCCAGCAACTCAAAGATGGTCAGTATACTGATGCAACAAATACTTGGAGTCAACTTGAATCAGAAATTGGTGCCAACAGCAACTCAGTGGTATGCTATTTTTTACTTCTCTTTTATCATATTTGGCCTCTTTTTTTATTTCTCATTTTTTGGAGTAAATTTGCAGGATTTCTACAATTTTCTTCAGGATGCTGGGATGGGGCCTGTAGCTTTAACAGCTTCAGAATTCTCTAATGGGTTTTTTTCAGTCAACAGATACTCAAGGTATTTGAGTTCCTTGAGGGTTTCACCAGGAAATGGTGAGGGTGACCTTGATAGTTTGATGAATGGGGTCATCAAGAAAAAGCTTAAGATCCCAGATAATGTCACGTGAGCTTATTTTATATATTCCTCTGTTTTTTTTTTGAAATATTTATAATTTCTACAATATTACTCTTTGAAATTTTTTATCCAAAGTTACAATTTTTATGTGTTTTAACAGATGGGGAGGGCAGTCGGATTTGGTTTTCTCATATTTGGCAGGTGATTTCATGAGGCCAAGAATTGCTGAGGTAAAAGCTCAGTTTCTAATCCTTGGTTTTTGAATTCATTTGGCAAAAGATTGTTTTTTTTAAGTATTCTTTGTATATGTAAGTATTGTTTTATGATTAATCCAGGTTGATGAGCTACTTTCAAAAGGAGTTAATGTCACTATCTACAATGGACAGGTAAGATTCTTCCAAATGTTTCTTATTTACCATAAACAAATTTTACACCCAATGATCCTTTTTCTTTCTTGTTTTTTTTTCCAAAAATAAAAGAAATTAGAAAATAATATAAATTGTTGTTTCTTCTTCTCTCTATTGGGGTTTAAACTTGTAACATTAATGATTGTGTTGTTGGATGGATGGGTCACTGCAGCTTGATGTGATCTGTGCAACAAAGGGAACTGAAGCTTGGGTTGATAAGCTCAAGTATGACTCTTATTTTCCTTTCTATCTGTATCTTATTAGCCCTCCAAAGAAAAAGAAAAAGTTTAATGTCTTATTATAGGTTGGATATATATATATATATAATTCCATTGGTATTCTAGTAAAAATAATATTTTTTTTATCATTGAGGTCACTCAATGAATTCTAATATATTAGATATATGAATGTGATAATTCGAGTGAATGTTCAACACATATTAGAAATATTATTTTTTAACATCTTCATAAATGTCTGATATAAATACTAAATGGAGTACGGAGTTATAATACATAAAGTTGTGTTCTGATAATTTATTCAGGTGGGAAGGACTTCAAGATTTTTTAAGCACTGAAAGGAGTCCTCTTTATTGTAAAGAAGAAGTCACAAAAGGGTTCCACAAATCATACAAAAATCTGCAATTTTTCTGGATCCTTGGTGCTGGACACTTTGTAAGTCTTCAAAAATCACTGTTAATATTACTCCTAAAATCATACAAATAGACAAATCTTTTCAATATAAAGAAATACCATGATTGTTATCTCATCCATGCCATCATCACCGTCACCTGCATATATATAATCATTCATTCGTTAGAAGGGAATAAAGAGAACAAAATACTCAGCATTATTGCAGTTGTTCTCCGATAGCGAAATCATGTATTGATTTATGTAATAATTAATAAATTCAATAATGTATTGGATGCAGGTACCTGTAGAGCAGCCCTGTGTAGCTTTAGACATGGCTGGTGCAGTCACACAATCACCAGCTGCTGCTGAAGCTTCTTAACCCCAAAACAGACAAAAAGACAAACAAAAAAAACGAAAGATTTGATGGGATTGGTTGCCATTTCAATAAAAAAAAGAGGGAAACAGAGGGATTTACTTATCTTCAGGAACAGTAGAGTTTCAGAAGCCAAGACTACACGTAAAGCAATTATTGAATAGAGAGGCATTGATGAGGTTGAAGTTTTTTATCATGTGGCTCTGCTCCAAGTTGTAATAATCATTTACAGAAAGGAAAAATAAAAAAAATAAATTGAATCCAATATTTCTATACATATGCATGCATGGTGTATGGATACAGGATCCTAGAATTCCTTCTTATGTATGTGTCTTATGAGATCATAGATTTAGACAGTAAATATTGGACTGTTCAGTGCTTTGTGTCTTTCAATGGGTCCTAAGAAATACCCAAATCCCAAGAAAAAAAGAAGAAAAATGGAGATCAGGGTCAGGTCAGGCAGAGAGTTGTTTGTTCAGGGAAGACTGTCAGAAGGGTTAAAATAAAATAAAATAAATTGAAAATGTCATTTTTTTTATCAATGCCAGGAAATAGCGGAGCAAGCAACAAAATAACCATTTTCTGCACGCAATCTACTGTCTAATCCTACAAAGAGGCAATAACACCGAAAAATCACCTTTTTTAAAATTTAATTACCTGATACACAACCTTTCATCTTTATTTATTAATCTAATATCTTTTAATGGATGACGCGTCTTATGTACCATGTCTTATGTTAATTTGACGTCATGTGGGGTAAGGTGTGGCCTATGAACTACGTCTTATGCTGACGTGACGACACGCTGGCTAAGACACGGTGCATAGGGCGCGCCTTATGCCACGTAGGGTATAGCGCGGTGCATGGGTCACGCCTTATGTCACGTAGGGTATAGTACGGAGCATGGGCCGCGCCTTCCTGCAATTATGACATGCACCAGAATGACGCGGTGCATGGGTCGCGCCTTGCATAATTGCATCCGCATTTCTCGTGTTTAAATCATCTCATCTCCGCTATAAATACCCCTCCCCCTTAAACTCTCTCACAACTCCCTCTCAATCGAAAAATTACTACAATAATCATCTTAACCAGTAAAAAACACCCGACAATCTTTTTATATTGGATTCAGAAGTTCGATCGATCTTTCGTTATAAGGTAATTTTTTATAATTATATATGATTATTTGAAAAAAAAAATTGTATTAATTATTTTTAATTAATTTTTCTGGTCGTAAAATTGGAAAGCAAGAGCATACGTCGAAATATTTTTACCGATACGGTAATAATATAAATTTATATTATTTAAATTATTTACGTTTATGTGTAGAAATTTTATTGTGTTATATTTTAATCTATATATTGTTTATTTAATTAGGTTTGTTTCAGGTTTTTTTGCAGATATAATATGTCACACTTTCAAACTCTAAGAATGACTCGAATTCAGCTATTGTTTATTATGATGGGGAAATTCGAGAAGATGAAACCGGAGTTATTTTCGTATCAAATCATTATGTTAAACATCCTTCAAGAGAAACATAACTCTTAAGGAGCTGATAACGAAGATTTCAAGGAAGATTCATGTTGGAAGTACTAGAAGAATGTCGTCGTTGCAGTACAAATTTCCAACATCATTGTTACCATTAACTTATACAACGTTTGAATTATCGAACAATGATGATGTTGAAATGATGGTTGATTCTCAAAGTAATTATTCAGACGTCGATACGGAGATGTATGCAAAGTTTGTTGAAGTGTGTGTTGTTTGGGGTCTGCCATTAAGCTCCTACTATGGGTTGACTGAACAAGTTGATCAAGTTGACAGCCTGACTACAGTAATGTGTAATGATTTTAAAGCAATAATGGGAAATCCACATCATGTTGTCGTCTCATCAACTTCAACAAGGAGACATTCATTAACAACTCCTTACGATCTGTACTGAGGTGGGTCCACGAATAATTCGTATGGCAACATCGCGTCCAGTTCAAGGTGAAGGCGTTCATCTACAAATTTCTTTGACCTTAATATGGAGATGCCCTCGACGCAACAATCTATGCAGTTTCCATTTGACATGATAGCTTCAAGCTCCAGGGGGAGGCATTCGACTGCGAGCTTTTTCGATCTCAATGTCGATATGCCTTCTAGTTTAAGGGGAAGGCATGCAAGTAGTAGGTTCTTCGACCTAAATGTGGAGAGCATGGAGAAACCATCATCTCCACCAGAAGAACCGCTTCGTGAGCAAGGTGTGGATGGTACTGAGACTGGACTATTCATTCACCCAGAATCACCGCAATTCAACTCCGATGATGATGATGTAGATGAAGTTCCCTAAAATGTGTCGTAAACTGACCCTCCAGCACACATGTATGAAGCTGATTATGGTGCAATATACGGGCCGGAATTTACGGATATGCCTAATCTCAGTGACTATGGATTTTACTCATCAATAAATAATGGTGAGTTATCTTTAGGCATGAAGTTTTCAAGAAAAGAAGAAGCGATGATGGCTATAAAAAAATTGCAATATCTGTAATTATGTTCAATCTAGAGTCGACAGCTCCTTGACAGAAAAATATGTATGCCATTGTGCCCGACGCAAAAATAGATACAATTTGATGGTTTGTGTATCGAAGAGGAAGAGGAAAAACAATAGATGAGAACTAACGGTATACAATGGTCCTCACACATGTTGTGCTGGAGGGATCAACCAAGATCATCCCAACTTGGACTCTAAAGTGATATGCGAAGCCATCATGCCCATGGTAAAAGCAAGCTCACATATAGCTATTGTTGTGTTGATTTCAACTATACAACCGCACTATGGGGTATTTCGTCTCATACAGAAAAGCATGGAAGGCAAAGCAGAATGCCATTAAAAAACTTCACGACGAATGGGATGCATCTTACAACGAACTTCCAAGTTGGTTTAGGCTGGTGCGGAGGTTGAATCCAGGGACAATTGTAGACTTCGAAACCTCCCATGCATACCATAATGATTGAATTCTTCGCGATCGATGCCAATTCTACCAGATTTTTTGGACTTACCCACAGTGCATTAATGCCGTCAAATACTGTAAGCCTGTGGTCTAGATCGACGAGACTTTCTTGTATAGAAAATACAAGCAAGTTTTACTATTGGCAGTTGTCCAAGATGGTAATTGCAATATTCTTCCAGTTGCTTTTGCTCTTGTTGAAGGAGAAGATACAAATTCTTGGGTTTTTTTCCTCCAAAACTTACATTTACATATTATCACGAGGGGAAAAATTGTTTCATTTCAGATCGCGGAGTTGGGATCAAAGCAACAATGGAGTCTTTGGGTCTATTGTGGCAGCCACCCTTTGTCCAACATAAGTATTGTATCCGAAACATTGTTGCGAACTACAATGAAAGGTTCAAGAAGAATGTTGAGCGCCAATTACTTGTGCACATGGGTAAGCGAAACCACCCCTTTTCTTTTGATCATTTTCATTTTTAAAAAGAAACAAAGTTAGTAAGTTCTACATTTTATGATCAGGTTACGAACTACTACCTCAATCATTTGAATCCATGCTTCAAGATTTGCGGGCGAAGAACGAGGAAGTATACGATTACATCAGCCTCATCGATAAAGAAATATGGTCAAACGCATATGATGGTGGATATCGATATGGACACATGACGACCAACTTGGCTGAGGCAATCAATTAGACCTTAAAGGGTGCACGTCACTTACCTGTAGCGACTTTGGTAAAAACTACATATTTTTGTATGGGGGCACTTTTTACGAAGCTCGAGGGACAAGCTCAAACCTGGATGCAAGACGATCATGTCTATCACCCTAGTTAGTTGCAGATATATAAAAAATTGTTGCATCAAATGGAATGTCTGTAACAAGCTTCTCTAGAACGCATGAATTGTTTCGTGTGACAGAGTTGCCGTGACATCTTCAAGAGATTAAAGTTGTGTCGTTAAGAGTAAATCTACGGGACAAATGGTGTGATTGCGGGTTTTTTTTCAAGCTCTGAAGTATCCATGCTCTCATGTGATAGCAACTTGCTCGTATACTCGTCAAGACTATAATCGTTTTGTGGATCCCGTATACCAACTATCAGAAGTGTTTAAGGTATACGAATTTGAGTTCCCCCATAGGTAATGACAAAGACCCTAATATGGTTCATAATTGGGTTTCGATTGTACCAGACCCGACTTTATTGAGGGACTGTGGTCGTCCAAAATCCACTCGAATTCATTATGATATGGATATTCGAGAAAAATCTAGTCACGACAAAAAATGTGGGCATTGTAGAAACTCAGGACACACTAGAAGAACATGTCCACTTCTGTTGTCATCAAGTAATCATTGATGAGGAGCTGATGTACTTGTTGTTTATAAAATAATAATTCTTGTAGTTTAATTTACATTTGCTTAAAGTTATAAGTGACAAAAGAAAGTTATCGAACACAATTATTAAATTTTATCAAACTAATAGCAATTTGGTATTTGAATATAATTTTAAATACAACAAACTTACAATAAGTATTAAATGGTAAATAAAAAAATTGCAATAACTGATATTAAATGGTAATAAACAAAATTAACAAAAAGTCCAACAAAATTAACAAAATAAATTAAGTATTAAATGATAAATAATAAAAAAATTACAATAAAAAAGTCCAATAAATAACTAAATACAAATATAATAAAATATCAAAATCTATCGATGTCTGCGGTGCGAATATGTTCCACAGGGCGGTGGTTGTCTGTCTCGAGGAGGATTTCTTCGTATAATTGGTTGTGAATCCTCACTGTCATCATCATCACCATCATCATCGTCGTCGTCAGGAGCAGATACATTTTGGTGATGAGGAACTGATGACGATGTAGCACCTCCATAGAATAAGGACCCTAGAGGTGTATGACCGACTAACCCACCGCTCATAAAAAACTGGGAAAATACATACATCGATGAATGAGAAAACTGTACAGGAGGTGTCTGTGCGGCGGCCATTGGTGATGATGCTGCACCCGCCAAATAACCAGCATATGAACCTTAGGTCAGATCTGCAAAACATAGACCCATAATATCCTCCAGGAGGGGTCATATAAC